CACTGGCCACCACCAAATTGACAGGACGGAACGGGAAATGGCAAGTCCCGACTGTGCAAACAGTCAACATGGTGTACAACGGCACACCCTCGAGCAGTCTCGCTAGATGTTTACTCGTGGATCTATGGACAGCATTATCCATGTCCACCATCTTCGAGAATTTCGACCAGATCCATAAGGATATGCGAAAAGACCTAGGAAAATCCGTAAGTGACCGTTACAAGGTCGTTTCCGCAAACATCGGAAACATCACAGATGAGAAGGGTATTGCTGCGTATTTGGAGAAGTCATAGGGAGACTAAGCACGCTACTATCGTCTACAGAGGGCAGAAGTCTGAAGGATAGCTCGATTCTATACGCAAAGGACACGATCATTTGTAATAGTCACTGATGTGCTAATCCCGAGGAGATCGCAAAGGTCATACTTCGCAGAGTGGAATTTCCCAACCCTCCAGTTCCAAATGGTGCTGTACCGTGGTTATGCGTAAATCGATACGTAGAAACGCGTAAAACACAATAAGTTTGATGCAAGCTGTTCACTGTACCTGCTGTTCTTAATGAAGTTGTCGTTGCACTCGAGTGTAGGCGGGTTTCCACCTGGGCACAACGGTCATGCTGAGCCCGTGGGGAGTAATGAGAGGAGCATACGACAAGACCGTGTTCGAAAAACTTTGCCGAGCGCTGCGGTCGATGATATCTCCCATGTGAAGCGTCGAGATGCTGGCCCGGGACGCGCATGGCGTTTGTTTCGTGATGTTTCTCAAAGTGCTGCATGCAACACGTACGGCGCGGTTTACGCGACACTTCCATGGGCACATGAGGACCGGCTAGGTGAACGGGATTTACAGTTATGACAAACTCTCTATGACTCTCTTACTGATCTCGTTATGATGCTTGTTACCGCGTACAGTGAGTCTTCAATGCTTGTTGGCTTGTACATAGGAGTAGGATCGAGGTACGCCCCGCAGAATCAGGCCCACCACGCTAGTTGGCACTAGGAATAGTTGCGCGCAGGAGCTGCTCGACCTTTGACTGAAGTGCCCGCGGAGGCAGAAAAGCGATTCAAGGATACCTGCTTCCGGGTACATTCATATGAGAAGCACATCCACGTGCATAGCCCGCATGCACGCCGTCCTTCGCAACTCGACATGCGCATAGTCTATGCACACCACCTGCCCGGCACAGCGCGCCGTTGTCGAGAAGCCCGTCCGCCGTTGCTTCTCGTTGGACCGTTGCCCACCCGTCTCCACTCCGAATCGCCCAACTTTCAAGTCATCTCTGGTCATGGAATAGACGTAAAGCGTTTGATGGTGCTAGTGGCTCGCGGGACGATTGGTGGCATCCGTTGTTGGGTGATACCAGGAGGCGTCGCAAAGTAGCATCGCTTCACGGGATCCATGAACGCCTTCGAGAGCGGGGTGCCACTGCGATGTTATTTAGGAAGGTATCCGATAGCACGCCTGAGGGATACCGGCCGTTCTTTGCTTATTCGCTCATTTCCTCTCCGGTCTCTACAGTCTGTGGCTGCTTACCTGCGACAGGGTTCTCCAGATCCGCCGCACGGGTGTGGCTAGCAAAACGGTAAGGTGATGACAAAGGGAGAGGCGCCACTAGTATCTCTAATTATCCCAATCTCCTGGATAAACACACTTGGGGAGTGAGCGTGATCCTTCAGTTGCCTTTGATGTTCCGAGAGCTGACCTACCTATGGGCGACAAGACAGGCATGCAATATGTACGAGGCACACCAACTTTCGGGCACGTCCTGTTCATTGGTGACCTTCGAATCGTTACCCTTCCTTCGTCTACGCGAACGAATCAACATGCTCATACATATGCTCGAGGATGTTCTCGGCCCAGCACAAGGGTTGACCGTTGAAGCGGCACACGTCTGCTACGCCCGGATACTTACCAAAACGTCTGTGATGGACATTAACATGCCCGGAGTCGCGTAAGCGATATACTGTAGATCGCCGCCTGTTGGACAAAGAATAAAGAGACGATCAGGTGTCGACGCGCAATGGCTTCGCCGACAAACCACAGCCATCACAAGGACAAGTTGATTCGATGTACATAATCGTGTATCGCTCGTACTGTTTGTGGAGATCAACAGGGTATATCGGGCACCAAACATTACCCCAGATCGATGGAACGATGAGAGCTCTTGGCTGAAGAAGCGTCCACTAGTGCCATTCACATGCATTTCGCACCCTGTCCCTTCCCCATGTAAGTGATAGCCAGCGTCTACTGGGATGAATATGCAGGGCTTGACCGCCAAGACGGGCTTCAAAGCGAGCTTGAGTGAGCTTGGCCCCCAGGTTTTGGCGTCTCTACCAGGCGATCTATATCCGGGGTCAACTGTTGTACTGCCTGAACTAGCGACATATCCGGTCGTCTACATCGGATCGATAGTTGTCTAGAGCTTAAGCGCAGCTGTCTTTGTGGAAATTCTGCAATAGCGTGGGCTGATCGATGACAGGTCACACGGTCGCATGCCAACAGTACATGCGGACATACACATTCTCGCTAGCCGTTGGCACATACCAACGGCCCATGAAGAATGGTACCAATCCTTCCAGAAGTGTCAAGTGCGGAGTAGTCACCTGGTCAGGCCTAGTGTAAGAAATTGCAATGCTACCATAGAAAGCCACACACGCACCACACTGCAGCATCACCGCTGTTCAGGATGCGATATTAAAAACTGGGGTATCCCACTGTCGATTGCGCCCGCAGCCTTCTCCAACTTCTGCTTCCTCAACGCTGCGCAAAGCGCCTTTCATCATAATTACCTCTTGTTCCAGCAATCTTGGAATAATTAGCGACAATGCCAGGAGGTGGTGTTACCCTCACTGGGACGCATGACCTGAACCGGGTCGAGGCTCCTGTCACCGTTCGAGCCTATCTGATCGTCGCATTCGCTGCGTTCGGAGGAATATTCTTTGGATATGACACTGGCTGGATGGGTGGAGTCCTCAACATGGACTACTTCATAAAGCAATACACTGGAGCTGAATACCCCGACGTCGTATATCCGGGCCTTGACTCCACCAGCCAGACCATCAAAGACTATCGCAACTCTACATTCGTGGTCGTACCATGGCAGCAGTCGCTCGTCACATCCATCCTCTCTGCCGGGTATGTGAGAAAAGACCAATAGTGTTACCAGTGAATACTAACAGAACACAGTACCTTCTTCGGCGCCATCATGGCTGGTGATATTGCTGACTTTATCGGACGTCGTTTCACAATCATCATGGGATGTGGTATCTTCATTGTCGGAGGTATCCTTGAGACAGCCTCTACCGGGCTTGGTGTCATGGTTGCTGGTCGACTTATCGCCGGTTTCGGTGTGGGTTTCATCTCATCCATTGTCATTCTCTATATGTCTGAGATCGCACCCAAGAAGGTCCGCGGTGCTGTAGTCGCTGGTAAGTACTATCCACATGGCCTGCATGTATACATCCTGACTTTGATAGGCTACCAGTTCTGCATTACCATCGGTATCTTACTCGCCAACTGCGTTGTATATGCCACTCAGAACAGACGCGATACTGGCTCCTATCGAATTCCAATCGCTGTACAGTTCCTGTGGGCTATCATTCTCGCCATCGGTCTCGCTCTCCTCCCTGAGTCCCCTCGTTACTGGGTCAAGAAGGGCAAGCTCGATAAGGCTGCCGCCGCACTTGGCCGTGTCCGTGGCCAACCTCTTGACTCCGAATATATCCAGGATGAACTAGCTGAGATTCTTGCTAATCACGAATACGAAATGTCCGTTGTTCCCCAGGGTAGCTATCTCGGTTCATGGATGGCTTGCTTCAAGGGAAAGCTCTCTCAGCCCTCGTCCAACGCCCGTCGCACTACGATTGGCATCTTCATGCAGGCTATGCAGCAGCTGACTGGTATCAACTTCATCTTTTACTTCGGCCCAGTCTTCTTCCAGCAACTCGGCTCCATCAGCAACCCTTTCCTCATCTCTCTCGTCACAACTCTTGTCAACGTGCTGTCCACCCCGGCCTCGTTCGTCATGGTCGAGAAGATTGGCAGACGCCCTCTCCTGGTTTTTGGAGCTGCTGGCATGGTCATCATGCAGTTCATCGTCGGAGCTATCGGAGCCACCGCTGGTAGAAACACTGCTGACCATCCTGCCAACCCGAATGCTACCAGAGCCATGATCGCATTCATTTGCCTGAACATCTCCGTCTTCGCTACCACATGGGGACCGTGCGCCTGGATTGTGATCGGCGAAATCTTTCCTTTGACTATTCGATCTCGTGGCGTCGGTCTGTCCACGGCTAGCAACTGGTTCTGGAACTGCATTATCGGCATCATCACGCCTTACCTTGTTGCTGACCGCGATGATTCCGCTCGTATGGGATCAAATGTCTTCTTCCTGTGGGGCTCGCTCTGCTGCGTTTCATGTAAGTTTTCCATTTTCCTTGCAGCCACATGGAGCCTTTTGCTAATCCATAAACAGTCCTTTTCGCCTACTTCTTTGTTCCGGAAACTAAGGGTCTTACGCTTGAGCAAGTCGACAAGATGTTGGAGGAGAGCACCCCTCGCACCTCCCGTAACTGGAAGCCCCACAGCACCTTCGCTGGCGACATGAACCTCGCTGACAAGCATATCGAGATTCCTCTCGAGAACCTCACTACTAAGCACGAGACCTCTACAGTCTAGTTATCTGGTCTGAACGATGTGTAAGAAGGGAATACTCAATATATGGAACTGCCGATGTCAATAGATGTTACTGCAATGCATAGACTTGCTATTTCGCACTCAATGCTGTGGAGTTATATGTTTAGTGGAATAGCATACCCGAACCTTTGTCACTGGGTTTCAATCCGCGTTCCACATTGTGATCGCTGGAAAGCGTACGCGAGACTCAATCCAGAGTGCACGTTATGGCAGCTGCTTCATCACTTGAGATCTCCAGCTATATGCGTGCTTCCAGTAGTCTGGGAATTTGACTCGAACCACAAGCTGTGACTACGATGTGACGTATCAAGCGTCCGTTTGCGCAATGTCCAAGAACCCGTTGCGTTCTGTTCTCCTCGGCTCTAGATATGGACCCCAGTGTTCGCTATGTAGCACAAGGCTGACGGGCTGACAGCGGAGGCGCGTGTTCTTGCGTTCGATTAACCGGCGCGGTGTTTGCGGCATCGTTTGAGTAGGTGGTACGAGGCTGATGGGTCGCATGCTGCATTGGGGAAATGGCTCGCATGAGAAGTTGGAGCACTGTCAGTGTGACGAGAACTTACGTCGATGATCTGTGTCAGCCGACGTAACATTTGCGCGTTTGTTGAGAAATGGGACGGTTGCATGGTTGGATCCTTCGTTGGGCTTGCCTCTGACAGGCGCGCTGTGGCGGAGCTCGCTCTTGCCTGGTGGTGTAGCATCTGTGCGCAGCTTGGTGGGGGCTTCAGGCTCACCAAGCGCGAGCATCTTCTTCAACTCCCATACCTTGCCTTTCAACATTGTTATGGAGGCTCCGGTCAATTCGCCCTGATCCCTGAAGTTGCGCGAAGAAGTCATGGCTACTGCCCGTGATGAACAATGCCGCATGCCGAACGAACAACTTCTCTGTGGACAGCCTTGCGGGATGTGGGAGGCTGCAGGTGATGGTGTCGCTGCCCGTCAAGCTTGCCTCTATACGTCCATGTTCAGCTCAGCCTTGGGGGGCTATGCCTAGTCCCCAGGATGCCAGCCACATCGTCGAGTTCATGGCTATCAGAGTGATCTTCACTTCCCTCCACTTCCCCAGTCCTCTAGCCATTCAAATGAAGCTTGATTCTGACAAGACATTTGGCGAATTATACCCTAGCATCGAAGCTCTCCAAACAGCCTTGACAGAGCTCGAGACAAAATACAAGGAAACCATCTCTGATACGCAGATTCCTCTTCGATTTCTCACTCTGCGCGACAGGCCGCCTTCTGAGTCTCCGGGAAACACAGTCAGTGGTCTCGCCATACAAACTGCAAGTGAGATAAATGCTGACTGCGTGCACCTGATCTTAGGTCCATCTACGTCTTACCCAGAGAGCGGAATATGATCCGGATTGGGAATATGTTGCTGTGTCATACACTTGGGCACAACCTGAGGGTCTTGCCGCCCACTTCAATACGCCGAAGTTCATGATCTGGATCAGCGACACGGAAGCCCGTCCGCCACGTTGCCCTCCATCTGTTCTTCACCGGGCATTGCAATACGACATCCAGGGAACCAAGACTGGCCGCCTCTGGATAGACCAAGAGTGTATCGACCAAGACGATGCGATAGATCGCGATGAACATATCGCGCACATGCATAAAATTTATGAGCGGTCCAAATGCACAGCTATCGTCCTATCGAAGAGTATGAACCCAAGCCATGCGACCTTCTTGCAGCGCTGCATTGAAGCCGACGCAAAAGACACGCTGGAGAAGACTTTCCACCAAGGAGATCAAGAAGAACCTCCAATGCATACTTGCTTGAGTCTTACCGATACCATGAATGCCTCATTGATATCCATGTCACACAAGAACAATAATCTAGAAAGCATTCTCCAAATAGAGGACCAAAAAGGAGGCCCCATAGATTCCGTAATGGAGGCGATCTTTGAGAACGTAACGGAAGATACGTACTTTACACGTGCCTGGACATATCAAGAGCAGCGGTGTTCCAAGGTCTCGTGCTATCTGATCCCTGTACCGCCAGATCCGGCATCTGATGGAATTACTATTGGACCAGAGCGAACGAGTATCTTCATGCCAAGTACTGTTCCTCGGAGTATTCATACATGGTGCTGGAGGCGTTTGCGTTTGCGCAGTTTCGAACTTTCTCGCTTGTTAACCAACAATTTCCTTTCTCATGACCGCGATGCGCGTGCCCCCAGTGTACCTGTCGTTAAGGAAAGAGTGTTGAGTCCCACGGAAAAGATCAGGGACAGAGACTACGTGATTATGGAAACAGTTAAGGGCATGAACACGCGAGATTGCAAGTACGTGTCTGATCGCGTAACAATGGTGGCGAATATATGCGAGTTCGGCATCACCCTTCGCACAACCCAGTTTCAGGACGATGAAGCAATGAGCTACAGTACGTGTGTTTTGGCACTTCTTGTCATGAATCGGATATTCAAGAGGTCATGGGCATCTATCATGGAAATGAAAATCGATGTTGCGCTCCTCACTTTTTGAGCTGCATAGATACTTCCATAGGAGACCTGAATAACAACAGCCACGCGAATAACTTACCAACGCATCCTCTTTCTAATGTGCACCCACCAATGACTTCTCGCTCTTAAGTGGGTCTAAAAGCAGCAGACTTGCCTTGCGCATCTATCAGGTTTCTTCAAGAACGGTCCAAGCTCAACGCATGGTTAAGAGTATGGTATCAATAGTTCCTCATCTATACAATCTCTACTCCAAGTACAATATCCAAAGACTTCGAGGGAGTTCAACTGGTCTTATGCCCTCCACTGGCCGTCTGCGCCCTCAGAAACGCCTCAACGTCCTTGGCACTCGTGGCATCGATCTGGCGATCCATCTCTTGTTCCTGTGGACTCTTTATCCTCTCAGGCTCTTCAACCTTGTTCTCTTCCCCCTTATTTCCACCAACCACACCGGCAACGGCTTCAGCGGCAGAAGTAGCAGTCGAGGTGACTACAGCGGAGGCTGATACAGCGGCTTGTTTAGCTTGGTCCAAATAGCCCGGGGCAGCGGGTTCTTCACGATCGGGGAGCGGTACCTCTTTCGGTGCTTGACCCACCGTGTTGGGCTCCATTGTGACTGTCTTGTCTCCATGCCCATGGTCAACGACTGCTGCCTCGGGCGTTCCGTCTGCGAGCTGCCCAGATGCGTGTGTTTGGTTCTGTTGCTCGTATCGTGCTTCTGATGTGCCCGCGCGAATCGGTAGGGTCGTAGTAATCGGTACCGCGGTCGTGGACGGGCGCGACTCGGTGTCTGAGGGTGGAGTGTGGATTTCAGGCTCGTTCGTATCAGGGGGATGAGTCGCTGTGCCTACGGTTGTGAGAGGGTCGCCGATCTGAGTTGCAGGTGTGGGCGGCATCAGATCTCCCTGCTTGTATCCTACAGGCTTGGGAATGGAGAAGATAAGTTTTCTTCGCGGTGTTCCGCTTTCGCTGCCGACGCCCCAGGCTTCCATTTCGCCATTCTGGCCTTCCTCCCACTTTATCGGCCCAATAGGGAACGTCTTGCGACCGTCCTGGGTATTTGGGTTCTCCCACTTCATTTGCGCCTCGATGGCTGGCTCAAGGTTGGGCAGCTGTCCCCACTCGAAATCGAGACCGCCACCGTATTTCTTCGGTATGTTTTCGTGGTCGATGTATTGAGAGAGTGTGGAGTAGACGTTCTGCGGGGAGAGGATGAAGATCTTAGAGACGGTGATGGGATCAAACCAGCGCTTGACCCAGCCCCAGACGGTGGGAAAGAAGCCAGGCGCTCCAACGATCTACGATTTGGTCAGTTCTACTTGCATGGCTCTCAAGAAGACGCGTGCACATACGAATATCCTATCCAGGGTCTCAGGGTAATGTGCTGTGGCCAGGACCGAAGCATCTTGCATGTGGCCCTTCAGGTTCCAGAACTGCTTCAGCCCAACACCACTGATATCCACGATGTTGTTGCTTTGCGAGATTGGCGTTTCTGGGTGGCTACGAGGGACCATGGAACACAGAGGTGTGTAGAATCTTGTGAGCGACTCATACAGGGCGAATAGGCGCAGGTTCTTGGTCGCGACATTGGGGATGGTCGTCTTTGACTTGGCGAGTTGTTTCTCGTACGTGGAGATGTTCTTCGAGTTCAGCGGTGCGACCTCGAAAAGGAAGAGAGGAATGCCGCGTTTGTCGCGTCGGCCGAGCCATTGCGGGTACTACGTGAGGCTGTCAGACAGGATGACAGCACATGTATGCGGGACTCTCTACCAAGCGGCGCGTTTGCTCATACTCTTCGACCTCGATGGTGTTGAAGATTTCGCTTAATTTGTTCTCCTTCCGCCAGTCTTCCGTGTCTTTGAATTGCTTAAAGGCCTCTTGGGGAACAAAACGACGCGCGCGCAGATAGCGCCTGTAAGCAGTCAGTGCCCCGCTAAAATCGACAACTTCGCGATTTGCGCGTACAGCATGGTCTCGTCGTCATGACTGGCTCGCACCGGCCCGGCTGCAGGTGTGTAATAGCCTGCTTCCTGGCACACTTTCTTGAACTCGAGAAGCTGGGCTTCTTGGTTCTCGGTGAGATGGGAGAGATGTCCCGCAGGATACTGCATCGACTCTACTCTGCTGAGGTCGGCCATGGCGGGATATGATAGGAATGTAGGAGTGTAGGATTACAAGGCCAAAAGGAGAGATAAAAAGTGGTGAGCCAGACCGTTCAGTTTTAGGGCGTCATGTTCATGGTAATGAATGCGGCGGTGCGGCAGTGACATCAACTGTGGCTGCAGATCGGGTCTCGCGGACAGCGAGCTTCGGCAACGGTCGCGCGCTATCCGGACCAAACGTGGAAAAACCATATGAGGGTCTTGCTTGTTCACGGACATAACTGACTGTTGTGCTTGAGTCGCGTCTACCGCATTGACCACGATGAGTCCAGAGTTGCTTCGAGTGCCTCGTCATTCATTTCCGCTGCAAGCCGGAGCTTCGCCAAGGAATTCGTGCTGACAATGACGGCCTAACTTGCAGATACGCTGACAGCATCAAGGAAAGAAAGCCGGGCGGTACGGGTTTCTGCTACGGCGAGTTATCACGTCGTCCTTCTGCTTAGTCCAACAATAGCAATGTAGTCATCTTTGAAGGTGTTCTCAAAAGCGTCCAACATGTTTATCATAACGCGATCGGTTTTCCTCAGCGACTGGTCAAGTGCGCAGCGTGACAGGGACTCGCTCTATCAAGAGTGCTGTGTAGCTCTTTAGCCTGTTGGAATGGCATGAGTAGAAAAGGTCTCGCATCCATGAGTGAGACATCTCTAACTGGGCCGAGACACAAGGCATAGAGTTAGCTCAGTCTCATCCTTGTCGTGACGGGATCGTATATCTGGACCCGCGATACGACGGAGAGAACGCCTGTTGACTGAAGGTGCGTTATCGCGATTTAGCTGCCGAGGCTAGTCAATCTTAGCGAGCCATGCGCTCATGACCGCCCATGTTCCAATGTTGACGACATCTGCGGCGGAACCTTCAAGCGCGCCCTTCACTCGCCACACGGAACCTCCATCTACCCATGCACTTTGCGTTTCTCCCCACGACTCTACCCCTTCCCGAAAGCGCCGAACGACCCCACCCATACACCACCTGAACGCCGGGCCCACCATGCCACGCCCCTCCTTCACTGACTTACCGACCGAGATCCTCGAAGCCGTCTTCCTAAATCTCGACCCGCGCTCCCTCGCATCCGTTTCGCAGACGAACAAACTCATTAAGGAGCTCACGACCGATGCGCCTATAATATGGCGTCACCTGTGCAAGACGCAATTCAAGACATGGGACGCTCGCCACAACATTATCGCTAAGTTTGCAGCCCCGTTGTCTGATGTCGACTGGC